GGAAAAAGCTGCAGAAGGAAAGTTTGAAGAGGTTGGTCCATGAGGTTGAAGGAAAGAAGCCGTCTCCATAACAGAGAGTGCAGGTGATGCACAGGCGCCGATGTGGAAGCTGCAGGAAGTTATCCAGGAGGTCTAGCTGAGCTCATTCATGAAGGTGGCTGCACTAAATAAGATTTTCAATGTAGATGAAACAGCCTTCTGTTGGAAGGAGAGGCCACCTAGGACTTTCATAGCTAGAGAGGAGAAGTCAATGTCTGGCTTCAGATGCCTGGTAGGAGCTAATGCAGCTGGTGACTTGAAGTTGAAGCCAGTGCTCATTAATCATTCTGAAAATCCCAGGGCTCTTAAGAATTATGCCAAATCTACTCTGCTTGTGCTCAAAAATGGAGCAAGAAAGCCTGGATGACAGCACATCTGTTCACAAAATGGGTTGCTGGGTATTTTAAGCCCACTGTTGAGACTTCTGCTCAGAAAAAAAGATTCCTTTCAAAATATGGCTGCTCACTGACAACGTACCTGGTCACCCAAGAGCTCTGATGGAGACGTGCAATGAGATTTATGTTGTTTCCATGTCTGCTGACACAGCACCCATTCTGCAGCCCATGGGCCAGGGAGTCATTCAACTTTCAAGTCTTAGTAGTTAAGTCATACATTTTATAAGGCTTTGGCTGCCGTAGATAGTGATTCCTCTGATGGATCTCTACAAAGTCAGTTGAAAACCTTCTGGAAAGGTGTCACCATTCTAGATGCCATTTAGAACATTTGTGATTCATGGGAATAGGTCAAAATATCAACATGAATATTAGTTTGGAAGCAGCTGGTTCCAACCCTCCTGGATGACTTTGAGGGGTTCAAGCCTTCAGTGGAGGAAGTCACTGCAGATGTGGGGGGAAACAGCATGAGAACTAGAATTAGAAGTGGAGCCTCGAGATGGGACTGAGTTGCTGCATCTCAGGATCAAACGTGAGCAGAGGAGGATTTGCTTGCTGTGGACGGGCAAGGAAAGTGGTGTCTTGAGATGGGATCTCAAGCTGCTGTGAAGATATTTGAAATGAGAACAAACAACTTAGGATATTACATAAACTTGGTTGATAAAGCAGTGCCAAGTTTTGAAAGGATGGACTCCAATTTTGAAAGAAGCTTTACTCTGGGTAAAATGCCATCAACCAGCATCGCACACTACAGAGAAATCGTAGTAAAAAGAAGAGTCAATTGATGCGGCAAACTTCATTGTTGTTTTATTTTTTAGAAATTACCACAGACACCCCAACCTTCTTCAGCCACCACCCTGATCAGTCAGCAGCCATCAACACGGAGGCGAGACCCTCCACCAGCCAAAAGATCATGACTTGTCGAAGCTCAGATGGTGGTTAGCATTATTTAGCAGTAAAGTATTTTTAAATTAAGGTACGTACATTGTTTTTTGGACATCATGCTGTTACACACTTAATAGAGTACAGTATAGTGTAAACACAGGTTTCATATGCTCTGGGAAACTGAAAAATTCTTGTCACTCACTTTATTGCTGTATTTGTTTTCCTGTGGTCTGGAACCAGACCCCCAATATCTCTGATATGTGCCTGTATCTTGCTTCATAGCAGGGGCAAAAATTCATGGACCCAAGAGGCAATTGACTCAGTTTATCCTGAAGATGTTTTAGCTCCTCACCTTAAATTCAGAACATTTTGTGGGTTGGATTCTGGCCTGCCTTTTGGGAAGGTGCTTGGAAAGCTGAGGTCAAAGAAAGGAAGGGAGATAATTACTCCTTGATGGCAGAAGAAAAGAGCTGTAAAGCATTCTCTTTGGCCCTGGGTCCCCAACATTTTCTGGAGCTCCTGTCATGCTGGGGCCTGTCTCCCTCAGTACAAGGAAAGGCTCCCCGTGCTGGGGCAGGACAGAGAGGATGTGGGTCTCAGCTTTTTCCAAGAAAATGAGTCATTGTCCAACTCTCACCTTTCCCAGCCGACCTTCCTTTGCCCCCAGCAGAGGCAGTGTCCCTGGGTTCGTCCTTTCCTGGAACTCCCGCGGTTGACAGGGCTCTGAGAGGGCACCCAGTTCATCCTTTTGCCTTGAGGCAGGGCCCTCCCAAGCCAGCCTGGAATGTTAGGAAGTGACCTCATTCTTTCTGGAATACAGTGACAAGAAATCAGGAGAGGAATGTGTGTCCCTCACTCCCCCAGCCCTGTGCCTCTGGGAAACCACTGGGCTCCCAAACTTCAGTTCCCCCCGGGTATAATGCAGCAGTAATAATGCCTGTGGCATTCGGGGTGGAGGGACCACTCCTTCTTGGGAGGGACACACCCTGGCTGTTGCAGGACACTCACCATCATGGAGCCTGTGCCCCCAGCATCCATGATGCCTCCAGTCGTGATAAACCAAAGCATTCAATGCTTTTCCAAAGCTGCTCACAGTTGGAAAACTACAGGCTCACTGTTCCGTATCAGGGACAGGTGAGTGGGGTGTCAGGGCTGCGGCCGGGAGGGTGGGCCCTGGAGTGGGGAGACAGGCTGGGACAAGGTAGGAGAGAATGGAAGGCTCAGCCCGGCAGACCAAGGACGGGGTGCAACGTGGCCAAGGTGCTGCCCAGCAGAGCGCAGCCACGCCCGCCGACCTCAGCGATGGCCTCCTGGAGCCCACACGGAGGATGAGAGGTAAGAGGAAGCGGAGTGCGGGGCTTGGGGCCCAGCTGCTTGCAAGAGCGAGCCTCGGTCTGGGACAGTCAGACTTGCGTTCAGATCGTGGCTTCAGCACCTACCAGCTGTGTGTCCTTGTGCATCTCACCTCTGAACATGTTTTTTCACCCATAAAGTAGTGCTAAGACAACCTTGTAGGGCTGTGACAAGGAGGAAGGGTGACACTGTGTCCATTAAAGCTTCTTCCCCATGGACCTTAGGAGTGTAGGTTTTCTTGGGGTGGGAGGTTGTGGGGGGAAGTGTAAGCTGCACCTTCAAGACGAGGAAGACACACCATCAAAAGGTGCCCCAGACACAGCTGATTTCCCGGGGCAAGGATGGAGCCCAGTGGAGAGGCAGCGATCTAGTTACTGGAACGCAGACCAGAACTGGCCCAAATTAATCCTAGGACTGTTTCAATGCCTCTGGCCAAAGGCCAGGGCTGTCCATTGGCCTGGAGGTTCAAGCGACCTCTGCTTCGGGGCCCCGCATATGTCACCGCTCTCTCTGTTCACCATCTGTTGACCTCTTTGTTCCTTTGCGCCTTTTATCACCTCCCCCTGGACCGTCTTTCCCCTCATCTCCCCACACCAAAGCTCATCCCCCAAGTGGCAAAGCGTCACTGCCCGTGTCTCCTGGACAGTCCAGCAGGAAGCGACCCTTGCCATTTCGAGGGTCCGTGATGTTATATTCTCTGCTAACTGGATTGTGCCGGCTTCTGTCTTAGCGGAAGCTCCCTTGACCCCCAAATAAAAATGCCCCAAGTAGCTTTTCTTTGATAAGGCTGACTCTGCTAAATAAAAAGAACCAAATGAAGATGACAACTGATGAAGTTTAGGGACGACTTGCTCGGTAAGTAGGCACGGTGTGACTCGTGTCATGTGTATCAGCCCTGAGCCGTCTCCACAACTCCACGGGGTAGGTCCTACTGTTTTCCTTGTTTTTCAAATGAAGGAAGGTAAATAAATGGCAGCTGATGGTGGAGGCAAGGTAGACCCTTGGCGTTGGTGGGCAATGGCAGGATGAACCTTGGATGGGTGGTGGTGGCGCTGTGGGAACTGGGGGAGATGGCTCTAGGGTGGGTGCTTGTGGTGCCATGGCTATAGGGGGTGGAGGTGACTTAGGATGGATGCTGATGCTTCCAGGTCCGAGCATGTGGGGAGAGGAGCATGGTGAGGAGGCGACAGGAGTTCTGCCCTGAGTGTTTCTCTTGAAGAAGTACAGTGGCCGGAAGCTCAGGCTGAGGCCTGGGGTGACACCCTGGGTTTGGGAGCCATTGGCGCAAAAGTAGATGTAGAAACCGCAGGAGTGAGAGAAATGGCCCAGGGCGATGAGGGTAGAGAAGGTAAGTGGGCTGAGGATGGGCAGGTGCCCTGTCTTAGGGTCAAAGTGCAGGCCAAGGGAGAGGAGAGCGCTGGGCTGAGGAGGCCTGTGGGGGAGGGCATGATACAGAGCCAGGGGGCATCGTCAGGGGTGTGGCCACCACCGTCCAGGGAGATGAGGACTGCAAGGCATCCCCTTGTCTGGGAAATAGGCAGCCAGCGGAAATTTCAGGGCCCAGGGGCTGGGGGAAGGCAGGCTGAGATGGGGGGAGGATCCAGATGAAGGGAGAGGAGGGCAGCAGCCAGGGTGGCACTCCAGCTGCAGGGCTGGGATCCGTCTGTCCGTCAGCGAGCTGGCTGCTCGGGGCCACACTCACGTCCCCAGCCAGGCCTAAGAATCGAGGGCGCAGGAAGGCATAGGTGAGTCTGCTTAGGAATGGAGGCGGGGAGGGCTCTGGAAGTGCCCCCCGAGTGAGCATGTGAAAGCAGTAGGAGGGTGCAGACCTGGCCCAGAGAAGGCACACCAGGAGGCAGTCACCCCTCCCGGGAAGCTGAGGCTCAGCTCAGATGCTGGGAATAGGTGCCAGACAGAGTCACTGACCTTGGGTGTGTGACCCCAGGAAGCCATGCTTAACTGGTTCTGATGGAAGCCTTGGACAAGCTGGGGTCACCCTGCCTGGGGGAGAGTGGTCAGTGAGAGGGTATCAGCTCAAGGACCTTTACTGCTGCCCCATGTGAACCCCACAGACAACCAGGGGCCTGGGCTGCCAACTGTGCTCTGGGCACTGTGGGGGTGTGGGGGCGCAAGCAGAGGGAGGGTCCTCTTTACCCACCTTAATTGCCTTTCAGGAGAGGGAGACAGAGAGAGAGGTTGACTCTGACTGACCCATACTGTCCCTTGGGGAGACTACATAATGGAAAGCAGGGAAGCTGTGTGTGTGTGTGTGTGTGTGTGTGTGTGTGTGTATGTATGTGTGTGTGTCTGGCAGGGCTGGTGAGAGGTGCTCAGCCTCCCCAAGGAAGTGCTCTGACTGCACAATGCAGGCATTTGGGTGTGCCTGTGTTTGCGGGGGGGGCGGGGGGCTCCCCACATGCTTGTTGGGATACACACACATCAGACTCCGAATCAGAATTCCCTGAGTGGAACTGTCCACCTTAAAGAAGCTCTCTAGGCAGCTTGCACATTAAGGTGAAGGAAGAAACGCTGGCCCATGATATGCTTGGAAACCTCTCAGGATGCATCCCCTTCTGGGCTGTACTTTATTGAGGGTTTCCAGTCTAACGACAGGTTACTTCTCCCTGGACATCTTAGCAGGACCCCTCTGGAGATAGGCTGGGTCTCAGGGAGAGACTCCAATGCAGGCAGGTGGGGTGAAGAGGAAGGAGGGTAGGTGTGCGGGTTGGGGAGCCCTGGCTGCACAGGAGGGAACAGATCTGGGGCTTGTTGCATTTCTCTGCAGGGCTTCACTCATCTCTGGGGTGGGGAACACAAAGGGAAGCATGGAAAAGGCCTGCAATCCCATGGGGGCCACTTAGCCAGCTGTGTGCTTTAGGTAGTTCCCTTTTTCAAGACTGGGCTCAGCCTTCTCGCCTGAATAAAGGAAGCTGCACTGCTCAGGGGTGGCCCACCTCCGTGAACACTGTATGCATCTGGGCGCTTGGCAGCATGGCCACTGAGAGATGGCCCTTTGGCTATGGAATTTCTGATCCCCAGCAGCTGCAGAAAAGGGTAGGGGAGAAGAGCTTGATTTCTCTTTGCCATTACCCCTTTCCCACCCACACTTACTTGGAGGAGAGACCCCAATGGTTCAAAGTGTTTGCATGACCACTGATTCGAGAGTACTTCAGCAACGCTCTGAGTGACAGATGAATCACGTTTTGAATCAGGGATGGGCAGAGGCTACAGGAACACCAGCATTTTCAAGAGGTACTACATTTCAGAGGCTTGAGCAATTCTGTGCAATATAGAGAAGAGGGGTGTGGGAGGAGACACAAAATCCCCACCTTAGCTGATAGCCCTGAAATTCTTTTTCTCCTAGTCAGAAGAAAACAAAGTTTTCCATTAACAGCAATTTTTTTTAATGTAAAGGACAGATATTTGGGGGCTTAAAGTGGTGAGTTTGTAACTAAAAGGAGAATCCCATGGATAGATAACTTTCATTTAACTTTCAGCTTTATAAAACCAGGTTATCTACAGCTCCCAATATCTGTATGTAAGTAGAACATTACTAAGGACATAATGCAAACAGTTGAGCAAAATATCCCACCTAACTTACTTTCCTAAGTCTTATCTATTTTACAGTAAATTCATCCAACAAAGTGTTGATCATCTTTAGTTAAGTTATTTACTTACAGGACCTGAATTGAAATGAAAAAATATATATACAATACAATGGAAAAAGACACGGACTTTAGAGTCTGAAATATCTGAGTTTAAATCCTGGCTTTGCCCCAGCTACCTGTGTGAGCTTGGACAGGTGTATGTAAATCTTCTCTGCTTTGGTTACTGCATTTGTGAAATGGGTAACAGACTCAACTTGCACTTCAGAGACATGGGGGAAGGTTAAATGGGGTCGCTTATGTCTAATATGGCTTTGAAAATATAGCAGTTCTAAGTACAATAGTGATATTTTCCCAACATAAGTGTAAGGAAATTTCAAAATTTATCTCAGCTACTTCTCAACAATACAGGAAGGAAAATACTACTTCACCCATTTCACAGACGTTGACAATGAGGTGTTGTCATTGAGACTCAAGCCCAGGTCCTCTAACTCCACATCCCATGCTCTTTCCATTGCATTCTCTACCAGAGACAGATCGTGCCATTTTAATGAAGTTCCAGAGTATTGGGTGCCAGGGATCATTGTCCTTGTCATTTAGGGAGAGGGCAGATTATGAAACAAAGAGGTTGACCACCTCTTAGGGGATAACTGGGGACCTCAAGTCACAGAACAGGTGTGTGGTGGATACTCCATGTCAATTAATAGTGACAATTCTGGAAAACCCTGCACATCAACATATCTGAAGCAAGCTCACAATGCAATCTGTTCCTCTGATGGCTTCTGGGTAAGATACCAGTTCATATACATGCGTTAACATTTAATGTAAATACTTTAAAGAATCACCTCCACAGAAATTTTCAAAACATGTCAACCTTCATTAAGAACCCCTAGCACTCAAAAAGGAGAGAAGAGAAGATGCTCAGCATGAGAACAAAGACCACACCCAACAGTCACTTCATTAAATTTTTTTCATTTTTTAAATTTATCCTCTATTATTAACATTTACACTTACACAACCAGTGAACAATACCTGTTCTTGGAGCACAGACTTCCATTTCAGTAACTCTGGATACACAAAATGGTCATGTATGAGCAGAAATGCAGTGGGGTGGGGGTGGGGGGTGGAACACAGAGAAATCTGCTCCATCAAGAAGGTCACTACCAGGCAAGAATCAGTGCGTGGCTTGCTGCGGAAGGATGCGGGACAGAGGTGCACGTAATTAGCACAGACCTTTAGGAAAGCAACTCGGCAGCGAAATATCCAAGATCCTTAAAAAATTCGATATCTTTGACCCAGTAATTCCATGCCTGGGGATCTGTCCTAAGGAAATCATCTACAGTACAGGGGAAAATTTTTTAGGAACAAAATAAGAGGAACCAACCTAAATGGTCAACAATAGGGAAATGGTGAAGAAAAGTATTTTGTATTCTCATAATGTATTATTCAGGCATTAAAAATAGGTTTATGAAGACCTTGAGATATAGGAGAAAATTTTATATATTGTTGAGTTAACAAAAGAAGTACATAAGGATGCCTTCAACTATCAAATGGTCAGAAAAATGATTCAAAGGAAATGTGTAAGACTGCTAACACGAGTTCTGAGTGAGGGAATTGTGGATGACTATTTCTCCTTATTCCTGCTTTTTTGCATTTTCTAATTTTTCCCATTACAAAACATATATGTGAATTGAGGAAACACACTTGGACTTTGGGGTTGAAAACAAACTTTGTCCAGTGACCCTGAACTTATCTGCTTCTCTCAAGAATTCATATTTGCAGAGTTACCAAATATATTCAAGACTTAGAAAAAGCACCTCAAAGTCGAAGGAGGTGAGTCCCCAGAGAGGCCAAGGAGAAAAATAACTGGAGATCAATAAACAAAAGGACAAGAGAAATACTTGCTAGGAAAAACACACACAAACGCAAACTCTCAGGGGACATTTCCACTAACTTCCATCCTCTTGAGCCCAGCAGGCAGTGGAGCGCCTGGCTGACCTCTGATAACAGGGCAGGTCTGAGATAACCTCCTTCACACAGTGGGTGGGACGGGCCAAGGGCCCTTGAAGCTCCAGAATTTAGAACCCAGGGACAGCGTGGTGTGGCTGTGTCCTCGGCCAGTCCTTGACCTTTCTCTGTGCTCTTTATACATCTCCGGTGGGCTGAGACATGCTCAAATTTGCAGACAAAATATTAATGCAAACAGGCTCATGAGTGTCTCACAGCTGGGTCTCTAGAAATCCAAGTCATCTTGGCCAAAGGCACCTGCCCTGTCTGTGGTGGGGTTTTTAAACCCCATTTCTGTGAAAGTGAGGCTTCTCACTACCTTCTCAGCTTCTGCAGCAGAGCCCTGGGCTGCCCCCTGCTCTGGAGTCCTTGGGCCCCAGGGGGTCCCTTCTTGCTCAGAAGTAGGGCTTTCTGGGTACATGCTGGTGACTTTCCTCTCTGCACCAGGGGCTCCCTCCGACTCCCCTTCGGTGCTCCTCCAGTCTCGGGAGCCTTTCTGAGACAGGTGAGAGACGCTGCCCAGAGAGGATGGGCTGGAGGAGGAAAGGCCTGTTCTCAGGCCTGCCCTTTCACAGGGGGGGTGTCCACAGAGGGTTGGGGGCCACCAGGGCCTCTCCTCTTGGTCTGGGCTGCTGCTTCCTGAAGCCTCACCCCACTGGCTCTGTCCCTGGCCCACCTGTGCACCATCTCCTTCCTCACCTTGACTTCCTCTCCCTGGGCCTGGCTGTCCCCCGCCTCCAGCTTCCTGGACCTCGATGGCTTCAGGACCATCATTCTGTCCTCCTGGACTTGGGTCACCTCCTCCCGAGGCCCTGCCCTCCTCCTTCTTGCCCTCGCCATCCACCGGCCCCACGTCTCTGCCCATGTGGGGGTCTGCTTTCTCTGGGCTCTCTGGAGCATCTGCATCCTCACCTTCCTCGCGGACCAGACTCTGGATGCCCTCACCCTCAACGCCGCCCCCCGTCCCGGGGTCCCCACCCAGCCCCAGCTCCAGGCCTCCGTGGGCTCCCTGCACAGTTCCCGGACGCAAGGGATCCCCTGGAAGCACCCCCACCCCTCTCTTCTCAGGGGCCACCTCCACTGGGTCCCCACTGGCCCAACCTCCTTTCTTCTTCTGCAGAATTTGCCGCAGGTCAAAGGCCTTTTTGATGGGCGCACTGGCCCCCACTGCGCCCTGCAGTGCCGTGGGGATCACCGTCTTCCTCACGCAGGCCTCGCAGGGACAGAAGTCCTCCCCCTCGGCCTCCGCGCCTTGCTGCCTCCCCTGGGCTCCGCTGAGGTTTGGCACGTCCTCCAGGGAGAAGGGGAGGGGCCCCCGGCCTTGGGCCTGGTTGGGGAGGGCCGAGAGGTTGTGCAGGTCCTGCAGGCGATGCCGGCGCTGCTCTGCGGGCAGGGATGTCCCCCACCGGAGGGCTTCCCCGGGCGGCCCCGGCGCGCTCCCTGGGGCCCGGCTCCGGACCTTCCCGAGCTCATTCTCGGAGCTACCCTGCAGCCGCCGGCTCATGTCCTGCCGCAGCTCGGCCACCATCTGGTCCAGTAGGTCGTTGCTCCGCAGGCTCCAGCGCGCTCGGAGCTCGGCCGTGGCACCAGCAAGGTGGGCCAGGAAGGCCTCCTCCATCTTCCTCAGCAACGTGGACACCCAGGGAGGATCCGGAGACTCTCCGTGGGCCGCAGGGCAGCTCTGCTCCCCAGGCTCCTGGGCGAATACTGCCTGGCTTTGCTCCTGGCCCGTCTCAGCTGCTCCGGGCATCTTTTCCAAATCGGGCTCAACTTTGGGGCCACTTTGACTCCCACTGGTATCTAGGTCCCTCTCGCCAACACTCCCGGAGGGCTCTGCCAGGTTCTCTGTCCCCCCTGGGCGGGTCAGCACAGCCGAGGCAGGGTCCCTTCCTGCCCTCTCCTCCTGCGAGCTTGTACCTTCCTGCACGCCCTCCCTGTCCTGAGAGCCTGACAGTTCTTTTCCCGGGACTCTTCCCTCTTCTGGAAGTCCTCCGACACCCGCTCCATGCACTTCTGCTCCCCCTCTTTCTTTTTTCATTTCCTCCAGTTGCACCCACATTTCTTGAATCACGTTTTCAACCTCTTGGTGCAGGTTTCTGCTCTGCGCCTGCTGCCCACCACTCCCTCCAGCCATGTCCTTCCTGGCGGCACAGCCCCCTGCGTGGGCGTTTGAGGAGCCCGTGGAACCCCTCAGCTCTCGGTTTCCCAGGTCCTCTGGGTTCTTGGAGGTTCTGGAGTCGGGCCTCTGGTATGGAATTTTCAAGGGCAACTCCATCTGCTCAGGGACCAGGGCACAGTCTACGACGCAGGGTCCAGTGCCCTCCCCTGAGCCTCCAGAGCCACTGCCCACATCCACGCCAGAGGAGGACGTTGGTGTGAGGTCCTCAGTAACAGCGAGTGACCCGAGGCCTGGCACAGCCTGGTACCAGCCGAGCTCCCAGAGGCCTGAGTCCGGCTCACCATGCCCGAAGCCACACCCTGGCCACAGGGCCTGGAGGGTGCTCAGGAGCTTCTGGTACCGAGGAGAGTCTGCGAACCTGACCTCACTGGTGGGAGACCCAAGGTCGTTATCAAAGAAGTGGAGCCCAGCGAGACAGGCGATGAGGACCCCGGCCGAGTGGCTGAGCCTCCTGCCCACTGCACCGGACACCTCGGGCAGGCTGCTGGGCCGGCCCTGCCTGCAGCCCACCAGTGCCTTCATGATCTGTGTGGAGGCCAAAACCCTGTGGGGAAGCTCACACCGGCCCACAGTGCCACCCATGGCTGTTCCTCTGCCTGCTGCAGCCTCCGGGGGGGCTTCGGAAACTCCGCCGCCAGGAAGGCCCGCCCCTGGCTTGGGACCAGCACTGCCAGGCTCTGTGAGGGCCCCTTCCGGGGCTGCTGTCCCACTGGTGGCCCCTCCGAGGGGCAGCTGTCTGGCCCGAGTTGGCTCCCCAGGGCCTTCCTGGGAATGTATGTCAGCAGGTTTCCCCTGGGGCCCTTGCAGGTTGTCCCCAGCCCCATCTGTGCCCTCTGGCACCATCTCACGTTCCACGGGCGTGGGCTCCTCTGGGACGTGGCTCAGCCACTCACGGACCACAGCCTCTGGTGAGGCCCGGGGCAGCGCACCCAGCAGCAGGCTGCCCTCCGCCCCCTGCTCCCCCAGCCTCTTCCCTCTGCTGGCAGCCATCCCCTGGGGCATTCTCCCTGGCCTGGGGCCACAGCTGGGGCTGCCGCTTCTCGGGACTCTGCCTGCTGCTGCTGCAGCCACTGGCTGAGGGCCCGGAGGCCGAGGGCGCCATGCGTGGAGCTTTTCCTTGCCTGGCTCGCTCCTGCCCAGCCCCCACTCAGCACTGTGGCTGCTGCCGCAGGAAGGGTGCCTCTTGGCCAAGGGCCACGTCCCCGGGGGAGTAGGACAGTGCCTGCTGCACACCATGCAGGTCTCTGAGAAGGGCCCCTGGCAGCCCTGTGGCCCAGACGCCTGGAGAACCCACGTTTTAGCCCCTGGGGTTCCTTGGAGGGGGTCGGTGCTGAGCTGGGAGCAGCAGATCTCTCGGTGGGCTCCCGGCTGCCCTCCCTCCGGCTGCCCCACTCGGGGAACCCATGGCCAGGAAGGCGCGGGGATACGGCCTCCTGCCCTCTCACGCAGGCTGTCCTCTCGGGGGCTGAGAGGGTCTGACGTGCTGGAAGCAGTGGGAGCCGGTGAGCACGTCCCGCACTCAGGGTCCCCTTCTGTCTCGGCAGAGCCAGGGGATGGAGGGTAGCAGCTGGAGGCACGGTCAGAACTGCTCACAAAGGTAGCGGAGGCCCTGCTGAGCCCTCTGGTGTCCTGGGAATGCAGAGGAGCAGAGGAGGGCGGCCCTGGGTCCCTGGAGGCTGGGTTCCCAGCAGTAGCTGAGCCTTCAGAAGGGCCATCTGGGCAGGCCCTGTCTCCCCCGGGAGGCCCCAGCCCTGGCGGGGACACAGGCAAGTCAAGGTGGGTGGTGGGTGGCTGCCTGGGGCAGCCGCATTGAGCCCCGCTGCTGAGGCCAGAGGACTGGCCCCTCGTCCTGCCCTCCTGATTGCCTCCCCCACCCAGGTCTGAGGGTGGGGAACCTCCTGCGGTGTCCCCAGAGCCAGAACAGCCCTGGCCCAGGGGCAGCCTATTCCCAGACCCACCCCCAGCCCGGGGGTGCCTAGGGCCCTGTCCTCTGTCCCCAGCCTGTGGGTCCCCGCTCCTCAGAGATGGAGGGCTTGTGGTGGGGGCCCCGGGGCCCGCCCCCTGGGTGGCCTTCTTCCGGGAAGTCGTGGTCCTTCTCTTGCTCAGGGGTCCCTGGCGCCAGTGATGGCTGCTGCTGGACTCCTGGTGAGACCAGGCGCTCGCTGGGGAGGGAGAGGAAGCAGCGGCTGCCCCTCGGGGCCTGTGGGGCTCCCTGCTGCCCTGTGCTGTGCCCTCCGGGCCCTCAGCAGCCCAGGGCCTGCCCCCTGCCTCCTGCCCTGCCGCGCTCTGGGAGGCCGCCCTGGAGGCCAGATGAGGGCCGTAGCCGCCCTGTGGGGACCCGGAGCAGCTGGAGGAGCTTGGCTCGGAGTCTCGGGGGTGTCTGTCCTGGGGGGCAGGCCTGGCGCTCTCCTCACTGCCTCTCCACTTGCCCGCAGCACCATGGCCCCAGGGCCTCCTGCAGAGGGAGTGCTGGCTTGGCCCAGACCTCCTCCAAGGGGCCTTCCCCTTCCCCTGGGCCGTGTAGAGGGGGTTTGTCCAGATCTCGTACCTGCAGCCTGGCTGCCACTGGCCACGGGGAAGGGCTTGCTTGCATCCCTCCTTGCAGGGCCCCAGTTCCCCTGCCCCAGGCCCTGAGGAGCCCCCAGGGTGGCCCCTTAATGCAGAGTGGACAGGGCCCACCTCCCCCTGGAGAGGGCCATCCTGACCGGCCGCCGTGAGCACACGGGCCGCCCTGGCCCTCCTGGACCACAGGCGCGTGTCCTCGCCGAGGAGGTGGAAGCGGACTTTCATTTCCACAGACAGGCTGCCGTCCTCGTTCACATGGACCTTCTTCTCAAGGTCATCATCTGCCACCAACGGGCTGAGCTGGGCAGGCACGTCCTGAGGGTGTCTGTCAGGAGCAGGGCCCACCCAGGGACCATCCAGGGACACCGGAGCATCGCTGAAACCAGACCTCTCCGACAGCAGGGAGAGCTTCCGCGGCCTGCTGCCCGCCCTGGACCTCAAGTGGATCACGCTCTGCTTGGCCTTTGGCCCCCAGCTCCCTGGCACACAGTGAGGGGTAAGAGAAAAGGGGAAAGGCTGTGAGCTAGTTGGGGGGCTTCAGGGTAGGAGGGTAAAGGATGGTCATGAACCTTTCATCATCGACACATTGGCTGCCTCTAATAACACGCAGCAAGGGCAGAAACCATCCTAGAATAAACAGCCAGTCTGCAGTTTGTGAACCAGCAAAGCTTCGTGAGATGAACTTGAGGTGTGAATTTAGCCTCAGCCCTGCTACTTCCTACCTCTGTAGCTTCTGGCAGAACCTCTGTTCTAGCTGTAAAATGTGAATAATGGTGTGCTTTGGTAGGCTTGTTTTGACAATGCAAAGTAATGCATATAAAACCTCCTGCAGAGCTGCGAGCACCAAGTGGGTTTTCCATCGACAGCAGAGCTGGCGGGCAGAGCAGCTAGCTAACTCCCAGCCCTGCTCACACCCACCCCCAGCACAGGGGCCGAGTCAGTAAGCTGCTGCTACACATGTGACAGTAAACTGCAGAGAGCTTTGCAGTTATTGGTGGTGATTTCTCATCCTAACATTCATCAAGTTGTGGGGTTGATAAAGGATTGCACAAGAGGACCTGTACCCATAATAGTGGGTCCTGGTGGTCAAGCCTGCACCCCAGCCGTGAAAAAGAGAAGGGACTGAGAAACAAAACAATCGGGATGCTCAAGATGTGGGGCAGATGTCAAGCTTCCTAAATTATCTAGAAAGGATATCTGCCCAGCCCTACAGAGCCACTATCTAGAGCACATAAGATTGGGGAAACTTTAAAACCAGCTCACCGTTTTTGCTCCTTGAAGTCTTCCCAGATAAAAGTTCTGTGCTATGTCTTCTGGCATCTTCTACTGTCAGAGGTCTGAAGGGCTCGTGACCAGCACACACTAGCACTGAGGGGCTGCACAGAAGATGCTTCAGAGAGTCCACCTGGGGAGGCAGAGTACTGAATCAGGAGGCCCTCCAAGGAATAACTCACTCACTCCAGACCCTGCCTGGTGTCTGCACAACTCACCCCAGATTTCTGATCCCAGGGAAGGAGGGATCCCATCCACTTGCTGGGACACCTCCATGACCAGCTGGAGGCTGAGGTCCTACCACCATGGTGTTCCTCTCTGCCCACCCCCTTTCCTCCACCTGGCATGAGGCCTGGGTTCAGAGGTCATTCTGAGTGCCTTGAGCGGAAAAGGCTGCAAGAAGCATTTGGCCTGCTTCCCTGCCCGCACTTGCACCCTCCAGAATATGTATTTTTTGAAGCAAACAGAGCAGAAAGTCCTCCAGCTTCCAGATGGAGACCTGATCACTATGTGAGCATTTTCCCAGGTGGAGTCCCCCCTTGGGTCTGATCTGTGTTTTCCAGTATAATTTGAACCCATCACCTCTGCCTCTGTCCTCGTAGAGTAGAGAAGGGCAAAGCTGCTCTCCCCACAGACAGTTCTTCCCTCCCAGACTCCAGCAACAGTCTCTAGGCTGCTGCCCAGATGCTTGTGCCCCCTGGTCCCCACCCCCGCCACCCCCAGCAGCAGGACATGTTGGGCTGGGAGCTGAGCAGCAACGTCAGGGCTGGGGTGCACCCCAGGAGCAGGTCCCTGCCTTTAGAAAGGTCTCGCCTGGCCCCGAGGCCCCTGTACACTTGAGGGTTTGCACTGTTTATAGCATTCTGTTGTAATTAGCAGTGTTGGAAGGTTTCCTTCCATCTTTAAAGTGCTGAGTCTGTTATTTTTCATTTTCTCAAAGTGGAAGGGTATGTTCATACAAGGCGATGAGAAAAAGAGAACGATTCTTGCCTCTTCTCCGCACAAAATGACCTTAAGCTTGCTGTGCACCAAATCTTTCAACCCAGCTAATTGGCAATTTGTTTCAAACTACTTGGTACCTTTCTTTTTTGGATTAAGTCTTTAGCACATCCTCCAAATACAAACGTGACCCAAGTCTGTCAATTAATAGATGTAGCTATGCTTCTAGGAAATCAGACTTTTCCAAGACAGGAAAAGAATGAGGGGCTAAATGATGCTCCAGTTTTAGAAACAGGCAGAGTCTAGGGTCCATGGAGAAAAAAGAGCATTATTATGTGTCCATCCATTTGAGGACCTACAAACTGATAACCCTGTTCTGGGAGCAATGAGGTCACCTTGTTTACAGAAACTCTAATAGCTCTACAGTAAGTCTAGAGGAGCATACACAAGTTTTACCCCTAATTAACTTGTTTTGTGCCTGTTTCTCTCCCTCTCACCACACCCACTAAACTGCTAGTTGAAGGGAGGGATCTAGTCTTATCTGCCTGTAGTGCATGATAGCACATAGTAAGTGCACCGTAATCTAGAAGCGTTCTTGCATCATGACTGTGCCGTCATGAATGTCGGCTCCATCATTTAGCAGCCGTGCAATGGTGAGCAAATCCCTGAATCTCTGTGCCTCGATTTTCTTATCTATACCAAGGGGAAAATAACATTACCTGCCTGGCGGTTTTGTGTGGCTGCTGCACCCTAGATAGGCTAACCTCTGCTCCGCTCTCTTTCTGGTGTGCTTTCCGGCTTACAAAGCGCTGAACACAGTTCCTGGACTCCGTGGCAGCTAGAGTTCTACTGATGAAATTGTTCCCCCTTGTACACAATCTGGAAAAGGACAGAGAAGCATCTCCCTCTTGCTTTTGACTATTGCTGCAAGCAGAAAAGGCCAGAGGTTTCAAGGGGCACAGGGAGCTGAGATGGCAAAAGCCACACTCATTGTTCAAGTACCTAGTCACCACCTTCCCGGTCATCAACAGACGGTGGTGCATCCTCAGCCTCACCTGCATTGCAGCCTTAGTGGGGTGATCATGAGCCAATCATTCCAGTGATGGCCCCCCAACAACCCACTTTCTTGATTGTGTTGAATTTGTTTCTATCCAGAGAGGTCAATTCTGTGATGTTCTGGGAATCATGTCTAGGAACGCAGCCTGCGCTACACTAGCCTTTCAATGAATCTGCAACATGAAGTGCTCTGTGTGACTCTTTCATGCCTAAGAGGGCTAGAGTGGTTCGAGTTACCCGTACTGAATCACGTCCAACACAGGGTGTGGTAACAGAGGTGACTGCAGGCCAAGGCCCTCAAGGACGGGAGCCTGGAACTAGTTATCTGACCTGGTTGGGTTCAAAGGCAGTGATAACCTGCTTAAAAGGGGACACTGGTAGTCCAGGGCACAGAGTGATAAAGTGGGCTCTTGAGTGACCCCCTCTGATAGTAGAATTCTGGGTTTACTGAGATCATCAGTGTTCGTCATGACAGACTTGTAATGAAAATGAGAACCGCCAGGCGACGGAGCAGGCTGGCGGCTCTGACTTAAAGAAACTGGCTCAAGATTTAAACTCAGTTGAGGCCAGAGGACCTAGAAGCTTCTACTGCTATCACTGTAAAAAAACAGAACAAACAAAAAACACCTCTTTTCTCTTTTAGCCAAAACTCCAATGCAGAAACCGATTCTGTTTGTTACCGAAATACAGCTGCCCTGGTTACTATCTGATCAACAAGCCACAAAGCCAGTGTCGCCAGGCAGCACTCCATCCAACCGAAGCTAAGTAAGTGGCAGAGGCGCCACCTGCGCCTGCTGACCTGCCCCCTCTCCTCACGCACACCCACGGCTGTGTGGGGAGCTCCCCTGGACCAGCTGACTGAAGTAACGCATCCGTCCTGCGTCTCAAATGGTTTCTCAGGGCACATTGACACGAGCCAAAATTTGAGCACAGCAGAATTACAGGCCCACTTAGGGGCTGTACGAAGCACTGGGGAGGGAACGTCCAGCAGGCAATGATATCTGATTATTTTTCATGGAAGGAGCAATGGCAGGAGGTTCTGTAGCAATCGATGGGCAGTGGCTGGTGGCTAATCTGACCATCAAGGACCTGGAAGCACCGAAACTGGAGGACTGGCAACAAGGAAGGCTGGAGAAGAATCTGTCAGTGGATCTCCTAGAACGGGCGCAGAGGGGAGCGCACAGGTGTGTCCCAGGTGAATGCTCGCCAGAAGGAGGTAATCCCGCGGACACGTGGCCTGCTCAGGGAACGTCAGTCACCCTCTCCACCATCCCAAGGCATTCTCAACTGGCGCATGAACAAAGTGGAAAAGTGAGCATAAACTGGCAACATACCACCTTCTTCATGTGGATCTGGCCACCTCCTCGGCAGAGGCCTAGAGTGCCAGGGGCCGGCACCGATGCTAGTCCTGCACCGGGACACTCATGATTCGCATCATAACTTGAGGAACTCAGCCAACTACCTCTTGGGAAGGTAACAGTGAGCACCCCCGCCATGGAGAGAGTCAGCAATTTGAATTCACTGCTCTAGACACTTATCCTGTGTAACTGTTTCTCCCTTACCCACATCCTTCCTCCAGTCTCACTGCCCATGGACTTACTGAATGCCTTACTATTGCCAAGCCCCCCAGATTACTTATCTCCAAAGAACTGATTTTACAGCAAAAGAAGTGAGACAATGTACTAGCAGCCATAGAATTCACTGTGAAACACCCCAAAGCCACCATAATCCATAGAACAGTGGACCTGCTATGGAAGACCAGTTTGGGCACCAGACAGAAGGCATCACTGTATGCTCCCAACTGCCCTGTATTAAATGCTTTCTGCTGATGGTACTTCAAGTCCATTCTGTTTCCTGCCCTGAACGCTCACAGAAATAGGGGATTTTGGATAATAGGAGGATGGAATGAGAATATACCAGTGTGCAAGGCCCAGAGTCTGGCACAAAGTGCTCCCAAAATGGTAGCTAAAAATATGAATAACAATCGGCGGTTTTAATTAACTGAATGTATCTGCTCAGTTCACTTTTCACTAGTAGTGGGGTTATCAGTGCCTCTTTTTGAGGAATGACCTCCCCAGTCTGCCTGAGTATTTTGATCGGAGGTCCAGAGAACTTTCTGAGGAGCAATGGTACCCCAGCAGCCTACCTTTTCCCCGCTGGCCGTGTACACCTGCTTCACGGGGAAGTGCAGAAGATCCGAGGCTTTGCTGAGAAAGGCCGTCAGGTTCCTTGTATTTCTATGACTGAGAACCACTGTCTGCTGGAACCGAGGGTCCCCGTTCTTAACCAGCGTCGTCCTCCTTGGGGCTTTAGGACCCTTGCAGGAAGAGGATGTCCCTGGCACCTCACCCCGGTTGGGCACATCCCTCACCTGCAGAGCAGAGGGGCTTCGTCCCTGGGACTGGCCTGGCCCACTGGGGGTCTTGGGGGACTTCTTATCAGAGCAGAGGTAGAAGCCACCATCTTCCAGCTGCTCCAGGGCACTGAGGCCATGCAGGCCCCGGGGCGTGGTGACAGAGCGCACCCCAAAGGAGAGAGGCATGCGCTGGGAGAGCTCGTCCATCAGAGCGCCGAAGCTCCTGAAGGCACGTTGGTGAACAGCCAGACGAACTCCAGCAAACTGGGGGTCCCCTCGTTTGAGGAAGGTAATCTTCTTGGCTGGTGTGACGTGGGTGACAGAGGCGGTCCGGGCCACAAAAGGCAGGAGGCACTCGCGGTGGCTTAGGGCCTGGGCATCTCTCAGGGAGCTATTCATGGCGCGGGGGCCCAGGCAGCTGAAATGGGTCGAAGAGGAGAGTCAGAGAGCAGCCTGTGGGGTGTGCATTTCCTCTCTCCCCTTCCTTGTAGAGGTACTTCCTGCCCACCCCAAATTCACTCCGCTCAGCTATGCAGAGGCTGGTTAATCCATTTTGATGGATTAGAAGGAAGGCCAAAGATTAGGCAAAGCCCTTGCCCACTCCCGCCATGACTTACTACCTGTGTCACCCAGGACGTGGATGATGTCATCTGTGTGTTGGGGAGCCCTCTGTAAAATGCAGCCGTGTCCCCCTGCATAGTGGTTATAGTGATGAAACGAGTTTATGTATATAGAGCGCCTGGCACACAGGGGCAGCAGCATGTCTCCATCCTTTCCTTCCTCTTGGTGGTCCTCTTACCCTCTGCTCGAGGTCACACCTCGAGCTCCTTTGACTGTGTTAGAGTTTGTCCCCTCTGAGAGCTGGGCGAGGAAGAGAGGACCAGGTAATACAGCCGGGGGGATGAGGGACAAGCAGCCAGGAGACCCGGGTACCTTGCCCACCCTCAGTACAAAGTCTCCAGTGTGAGCCTCGTATATCCCCAGCTCTCTGAACTCACATCCTCCGGCTGCCAGGTGAGGGGACCGGAGCAGAATCCCTCGGTCCCAATCCCCTCAGTGATGGGAGTGCAAACAAGGAGACCTGTAACTCAGAGAGGAAGCCGCCACCTCCTGCTGTGTGTTTTCAACATAATGTGGTGAAGTTGGCTTTCACATAAAAAGAATGCTCCGCCTCGCATCCCCCAGCATCTCTGGAAGATGTGTGATGAGCCAGCCACCGCCGTCAGCTCGGGAGAGTCAGCGGCTCAGGCCAGCTGTGGTGCAGTGAAGGCCACTCGTCCAACTGTGCGTTCCTATGCGCACCGTGGCAGAGCCCCTTTGTCTCCCTGGGACTCTTGGCAGAGCGTCCCACAGGCCCTTCCTGACCAGGTCGCTGCGCTGGGTTCTGTGCACCTGCCCACCGAGTGGCCCTGAAACCCAGTTTTCACCCTGACCTTTCCTGTGCTCCAAGGCCTCCAAGTGGTCCTGAGGCTGCAGAGAGCCCAGGTCCCACATCCCACAATTCAAGGGCCTCTCCAGCTTGCTCCAGCTCCTTCCCTGCAGGCGCTCTGCACGCAGACCCAGCTGCCCGATTCAGAGGCTCCCCCAGCGTCCTCTCATCCTCTGCCTTGACTTCCCTCCTTTGTGGAGTCTGCCCCACGCCCCCATTTTCAGTAGGACTCCCCCAGCCTCTCTGACATCCCAGTGGGGCTCTACCTGTCCTTCCTGGCCAACTACCCCAAGGCCTTGGGGGCAGAGCCTGCCCTCCCCGGGGCTCTCAGCCGTATGCTTGGCACACAGCAGGAGCCTGGGAAATATGTTCTGATCAATAACGCCCTTGTTTCCCAGCCCAGCCCCTTCAGTAGGCTGGCACCCGAGCCACTGTCACCAGGCAAGGAGCTGTCCGGGCGCCCATGCGGTTCGGGCCGGAGCAGGGCCCTGGCTCACATGCACACTGCACACCCCGGTCGGCCAGCGCCTGCCTCCCCCTCTTAGCCTTACCCTCCGTTTAGCCCCAGTCTGCTTGGGGAAGGGACCCTCCTCTCGTTGTCAAAATGTTGGAGCATGAAGAAGCCTTTGCAATCCTCTCTCATGTGTGCTACAAATTTTATAATTGGGTTCCTCAAACTCCTCCCTCCCACCCACCCTCTAGGCTGCTTAGACCTCCCGCCCACAGTCCCCGGCCGCCATGGCAGTGCCGTCCTGAAGGGCTCACTTTCTTCCTGCTTGATTTCCACCTTTACTTGGCACAGTGAGCATCTTTCTTGGCCCACTGGGGAGCAGAGAAGGGAAGCAGGGTCACTGTGTACCCTAGAGTCACCATATCCGCAGCATTGCTGTGTCCCCAGCATTACCATGTTGCCAATGTAACCACGTTCCCCAATGTCACTGTGTCCCCCAGTGTCACCCTGACCTCCAGTATCACCATGTCCCCTGGTGTCACTGTCCTCTGGTGTCACTATGTCCTCCAGTGTTACGTGCCACCCAGTGTGGCCACGTCACCCAGTGTCACTGTGTATCCTAGTGTCACCATGTCCCCCAGCATCCCCACTGCCTCCAAGGGCTCCTGCTCTTTGCAGCTCATTTCTGGGCAGAGAAGGTCTCCCTAGGGTCCTCCCGGACAGCGGCTCTGCAGGGCTCAGGAGACATTCAAGGCGGAAGCAGGAACCTGGCCTGTGGCTCCTTGGGGACCCAGACCAAAGGGTAACATGGCAACATACACCCAAGCGGCTGATTGCCCCTTTCTCCTGGCATTTTAGAAAACATCTTCCAGAACTGGGATTCTCAGTATCAACTAGATTTTTGAAATGAAAGGAGAAATGTGGCCTCAGGGATCCTAAGTTCCAAAGATCAGGCTTATAGCAGCTGGGGTCCACCACAAAGCCTCCTTCCCAAGACAAGACCAGGCACACATTCCCGAGAGAAGCTGAGGGGGAAGTATTGATCACCCCTGATAAATGGACCTGCACTTATTTAACTGAAAAGATTCTGTGTATCAGGTGGCTGTACACATGCAGACAGGTTCCACTTCGTCCCAGTGGCAAGTTACTGAGAAGTAGGACATCCCCCAGCCACGGGGAAGGGAGAAGGAGATCACTTTTCCTTTCCAGAGAGGCTTGATGAACTTTTGATTCTTTCACCTTCAAAACAATCTGGTACCACTAGGTTACTGATCCATTCAGTCACTCGTCACCACTCATCTGTACAGCCAACAAAGATTTCTGAGCATGTACTGTGCACCAGGCTCTGTGCTGCCTGGGTCCTGGGAAAACAAAGATTACTGAGACACAACTTGGTGTTCTAGTGTGGCAGGTAAGTACCTTATTAAAGTGCAGCATATGAAAGGTTCTGAGATAGACATAGATATAGATATAGTATACCCAGGCTGTGACTGAAAGCAGATGAAGAGGAATGGCAAGTCAGGGAAGACTTCCTGGAGGGGGTGATGCAGAGCTGCCTGAGCTGAGACCTAAAGGACAATTTAGGGATTAGCCAGAGAAGGAAGTAGCTGGGACCGGCATGGCCAACAGCTATGGCCTTGTTGCCAGCTCTGACCCGTGGGTAAGGGTGGGTGGCAGGGTGGAGAAGAAGGTGCCAGGCTTCTGTATGCTGTGATCTGCCATAACCCCGGGACACAAAGGGTCCTACAGGTCGCTGACACTGGCCTTCCCTGCTCTGTTCAGGGCACTTTGGGGAGGGGACTATGCACAAAATCGCAGTGCAGGGGACAAGGCTTGGGCGTTTGGGAAGGGCCATAGAGGGTGTCAACCTGATATTTAGAAAGCCCTCTGGCAGCGGTAGGGTGGACACGGCCTCAGGAGGCAGGGAAAGCTCAGTGAGCAGGGCAAGGGCAGTGGAGTGAGGAGGGTCACTGGGTGACACAGACAGGCTGTGGGGCGCAGAGGGGGAGGACGCATCCTGTACGTGCAGGTTTCAGGCTCAGGGACCTGGGTGGCGGTGGACCCTCTATGCACCCGGGAGGGCGCCGAAGGAGGAGGGCATGTGGGAAGCCCATCCTCTCTGTGGGAGCAGGCGCACTGCCCAGGTGGCCTTGCAGAGAGAGCTGAGGACTTTCCTGCATGGGTGGCACTGCAGAGACCTGACCGGGCCACCAGCAGCCCAGAGGCCAACAAGTGGCAAGAGCAGACTTGCTCGGTTCCTGCATCAGATCCAAGACCAGGTAAGTGAAGAAAAGGAGGGCGGACACAGAGTGTCGGAAAGCCAGAGAAGTAAGAAGCAGGTGTCACATATCCTAAGGTGACTGACTGTCCCAGCTTATCTGGGACCGTCCCAGTTTGGGCACCAAAAGCCTTCCAGACCACCCCCAGGGGTGGCACCCAATCCCCACCCCCACCCCCACCTTGCATCCCCAGCTAGCTGAGAACTGTTGGCCACCCTGTCCTACTGCCTTCAGGGTGGGGCCCCGGCAGATGCGCAGAATCGGGTGGCCTCTTTCGGGCACTGGCCCTGTAGTCAGTGAGGCCAAGATAAGCTGGCACTGTCGGGCTTGCCTCACGGGGCCAGAAATAGATGCCACCATCAAGCATGGATGGGGACCAAGTCCCGATCTCCTAGTTGAGCCCCTGGATGCAGGAAAGGCCTGGAGCCAGAACCCAGCCTAAGAACTGGACTCTTCCGTGATGTGACAGTTCTCTCCTTTGCTTAGTGGACCCAGCCGGAGTTTCTGTCATTTGAAACAGAGAGGGACTTGGACCAGGAAGCAGCACCAGAGCCCAGCCTGTACTGGATGCAAAGCTGGGTTTCTGAGTTAGGCACGCCCCGTGCGGAGGGCTTCTGAGGCCTGCAGGCCCCTGCCAGATCCTTCTACTGTGTCCCGGTAGGGGACCCGTGTCTCATTCCTGCATGCCAGTGCGGGCAAGAGGGAGAGAGAGCATAACACAGTCCCTCGGAGGTGGGACAAAGGGGTCGTGACCAGCTGATGCGTGAAGTTGCAGAGACTGTTTTTCCTGCACTGCCGTCTGCCTTTTGAGATCATGAGGTTTCTTTCCCTGAGCAGGGGGCGCAAGAGGACTCAAGGCAGGAGACGACTTGACCTCTTTAACAAGACAAGCCAGGTAGGGTTCCAGGCCTGGCCCGAAAAGAGGGTGCCCTGATTCCATTCATCTGCTCTTTACCGCAGCATGAACCAGGCCGGCCACATGCCCATCCCTCCCTCATGCAGAGAGAAAGATGCTCAGGCAGAGAAGGGTGGGAAGGCAGGGGGGAGCCCGGGCACTCTGGGAGCAAAGTGAGGGGGCGCAGAGGGAAGAAGGGCACAGGGGGTCAGCAAAGAAGGTCTGGTATCCAGCTCTCCTCAGCCCACAGCCAGCTTGGGGCCAAGCAGCAGGGGAGGGGGTGACTGGGGGTGTCTACATGAGGTGAGTGACACTCCAGCTTTACCCAGCCAAGCCCTGTGGCTGCTCTGGAGGGCACCTCCTTCCAGACGTCCTCTGCCACCCCTAAGGGCAGGGCCGCTTCAAGGTGTATCGGGCAGAGTGGATTGGAAGGGTCTCTGACCTCCAGCTTTCCTGACCCACCTGCGTGCCAGGGGGCATGGACAGGACCATGGCAGAGCCCAGGGTCGGGCCGTCAAACTGCGGTGGGTGGTCTTGGTGAACACAGAGACTGGGGGGTGGGGGATGAAGCCCTGGTGCTGAGTGGGTCCCAGCAAACCGCAGGGCCCACAACACCTGTCAGAGCAACTATGGGACCGGTTCAGGGCCGCCCGGGGATTTCAGGAGGAAGCAGGACAAGAAAGCGAGGTGTCCAGCTGTGTGTGGGAGGAGGGGGGAAGCGGAGGAAAAACAGACTGAGGGGCGAAAGGAGAAAAAAATAGAAGTCACAGGAAACGCTACAAAAAGTGACAGCTGTGGCGGGGGAATTGGGCAGGGGGGCCGGCAGGAGGCAGCAGTTTTGTTAGCGGTCCTGGAAATAGGCTAGGCCAGGGTGGGGGGCTGCAGGCAGGAGCGGGCAGCGAGAGTGAGGGATTCAGGAAGAGAACAGATAGGGTGAAGTCTGCAGGCAGGATGGAGGCTGGGCTTTGCAGAGAAAAAACATGAGAGGCAATGAGGCCAACAGACCGGAGAGGGAATGTGGGGAGAGCTCTGTGGCCCAAGCCTGAGGCCTGCCTGGGAGGCTTGATCGACAGCGCGCATGAAGAGCTGAGAGAGGCGACCAGGAGGAATAGCACGGGCCCCAGAGGAAGATGCTTTGGCACGCAGCCTCCGCATAGAACCGGAGCCGTGGCCATCGTGTACGCAGCTCAGCTTCCAAGGCTCTGCCAGCACCACACGGGTCTACACCGGCACAGGTCTAAAGCCATTTGCAACACCGCCTTTCAGGGACTCCAGTTTGCCAAGAAGCACCATTATTTTATGAGGCAAAAAGACAGAAAGAAAAAAATGGAGACAAAGACGAAGACATGCTATTCATTGCAAAATGCATCCTGATTTCAGAGATACTAAAACATGGGGGGAAACCTGTGTATATTGAAGTTAATACAATATAGTATGATGAAGCGCTGAGCATTGGTTGTACACACATCCGTAATAAAGTTACAGCAGGTATCCACATTTGATCTCGACTGATTTTGGGGGTGATGACAGCATCAGAGAGTCAGTGTGCTACAACCCGAGAGTTATATCATGATGATCAGTTCGGTAAGTGTGACTCATAAAAAAAAAGAAGAGACCTCACCGAGACAACACTTCACATCCATTAGGAAAAGAAAACAAGTTTTGAAAGGATGTCGAGATTTTGCTGGGGAGAATATAAATGGTAGAGCTGTTGTGGAGAACAGTATGGTAGTTCCTTAAAAAAATAGACAGTGCCGTATAATACAGCAATTCCACGTCTAGGAGTAATTCCAGAAGAACTGACAGCAGGGTCTTGAACAGATGTCTGTATACCTACGTTCAACGGCCAAAAGGTGGAAGTAACCCAAGTGTCCATCAATAGAGGAATAGATAAGCCAAGTGTGCCCTATCCGCCCGATGGAATATTATCGCAGCCTTATGAAGAAAGGGAATGTGACACAGGCTTCAACAGATAAATCTGGAGGACATTATGCTGAGTG